CAAATATGTGACTTAATTGATGGGGAGGCTAGTATGTCTATTATTGCCCAAAGAGACCATTAGATTTGAAACCATAGTCGCCTATTTTACTTGACATCTTGATTTTTTAATTTAAAAGCCCTATATGTTACCTTTATTTTTTACTTATACTTTTTTACTCATGTGTATTGAGCACTTTTTAATACTACTGTTTCCTGGTCTGATTTAACTCTGACCATTAACCATATATATATATATATATATATATATATATATATATATATATATATATATATATATATATATATAACCAGTTGAACTTGAATCACAATCTCATTCTTGTATTACAGGGGTGTAACAACTACTGCTACAGTTGGTGTCTTGGGCAAGCCTGATGGTGACTATCTCTCTTCAGGCTGATTTAGAATTCAGAGTTATGTTTCACCTGTCCTATCAAGACTAAAAAGTTTAGTCTACCCTGCTATATTATTTTCTTATCTTGAAAAAGATAGATTCATGTCTTTTACAAGGACATCAGTGCAATAATGAATGAAATAGATTCACTTATATGAAGTTGCATACCAAGGTTTTATTGCCAAGTCAATCTTCAAAATGGAGGCAGCAGTTGTTGAAAATGATGGTAATTACATTTTTGATAAATAATATCTAAATAAATTTAGCTTACACCTGTTTCTATATACTTTCCAGTAAAATGTAATTGATTTCCAAACATCTAATATTCTGTTTTCAGTTTTTACATTTCTTTAATCAGAAACAACATCACTTCAGGAATTTTAACAGCAGCAACAACAAAAAATGAACATCACATGCAGCTCAAAGAGAAAATAATGACATAATCAAATGTTGACATTCCATACTACTTCAAACAAAAGGCTGGGAAGGAAATCTCATCATTATTGAAAAGAATGATGACAGTAACTGGACATAAGAAACTGATTTTCCTGAAAATTTGTTTTAAGAGAAAGATTTTAGAAATTAAAGTAGTCAATTAATGCAGTCAATGAATGCCAAGTATTTCCTTATAAGGAAATGACTAATATTAAAATTACCATTCTTTCTGTAGCATTTGACTTAATTCCTGATCCCCAGAAATCCTTTCCTTCCAGATTTTCACTGCATTCCTATATTAAATGTTTATCGATTATATATATATATATATATATATATATATATATAGTAAGGTAATGAGGGGTTTGGTCATCTGTGTGGATAATTCCAAATCTAGAAAGCTAAATGTAACAACAGAGCAAATATTAATTAAATAATTAGGAAAGAATGAAGAAATATAGTCTTAAGATGTGCTATATTTATGGGATAAAGTGGTCAATATCAGAGATAGAGCGTGTGTAAATATAAAAGTGAACACAGAAGTCAACACTTAGAGGTGACAGTCTGTTTCTTGCTAGATGTAATTGTCAGGTCACGAGTGATGTTATTTTTAAAAAGTGATATTATTTAGGAGAAAAATACTTTTTGTATTTTGCTTTGATGAAGTCCACATTGGACGAAATGCATCAGCAATTACCAGTTTTTCTATTGTCATTTTTATTCATAAATATATATAATAGTTTTATTCTATTATTAATATTTGCATTACTTTCTGATCCCTGCTCCTATTCAAAAGACTAAAGAGGAGTGTGAATCAGATATAAGAGGTGAACAGATCTGCTCCTATTGAGAACAAAAATACTAAATTTTCAGAGTTTAGACAAAGATGATAAAAGTATAGTGTTGGAGTAGACTTTATAAGGAACTGTAAATCTAATCTGCAACAGAAAACAAGGGATAAACCTCTATTCCTGATCAAAGACTTTGGAATGAGTAAGAACCAGATAATAGGCAAATCTATTTATTGAAGAAAGATAAATAAATAAATGGTAAATAAAATTTCAGTGTTTAGGTGTTGATGTTAGAAGTGTAGAGTTGAAGCAGTTTTTATAAGGAACTGCAAACCCAATCGTAAAATGGAAGCAAATGATAAACCTCTACTCCTGTTCAAAAGACTGGGGAGGAATGTCAAACATACAGTAGGTGAACCTATCTACTTCTAATATTATTATTATTAATAATAATAATAATAATAATAATAATAATAGTAATAATTCACCCCAAGCAAGACAATAATACCACTAAGATGCAAGGGACTACTGAGAGTGAAAGAGAATAAAAAGAATTTTGAAGAAACTGAAAACCCAATCCTAAACAGGAAGCAAGGGATAAACCTCTACTCCTGTTCAGAAGACTGTGGAGGAGGGTGAACTGAGCAATATGCAAAACTATCTACTCCTATGGAGGAATAAAAGATATAAAAAAATAATTAGTAAATAAAATTTCAAAGTTCAGACAGAGAGATTAGAAATATAGAGTTGAAGTAGACTTTAGAATGAACTGGAAACCCAATCCTAAATAGGAACCAAGGGATAAACCTCTACTCCTGTTCAAAAGAAGGGGAAAAATTATCTTTTAACTATTGTTAATCCCCATCAATTAGGGAAGAAATGTGTTAGGGTGCATTACTTAATGAACAAACAGTATATTATCCATTTAGTTTTAACTTAGTAAAAGTCAAAATATCCTCTACCACAATAAAATAGAAAGCAGACATAAGATTACAATTGTCATAAAGATTTTTCCTTAGGGAGAATGGGGACTGACCCCCACCCCATCCCAGGTAGCCATCAGGACTATTACAGAAAACTAAGATACTTGTATAAAAAGGCTCAGATAGTTTGCATTTAACACAGGCGAATTCTTACATACACTTTTTTGGGCCCCAAAAATACAGACGTATGTTCTTTTGGACAAACGTTATCATAAGTGAGAATCACACTCTTCGGGGGAGAGATCACCTCCACCATCACCTAGTGGGTGTAAGAGAGCAAGTAGAAATGAACATTAGATATTTCATACCAGTTCATTTCTACTTGAACAACAGGAATCTAGCTGGGGTTGCGGTACAGTGTAACCCGGATATAAGAGAGTTGTCGGGACCAGAGAAGAAGTCTCTTATATCTGGGTTTGGTCTTATATGTATACATTAACACAGGCTCTGATTTGGGACCAGAGAAAATCTCTCTTATATCCGGGTTTCTCTTATATCCAGGTCTCTTATATCCGGGTTACACTGTATAATATACAATCACATAAAAATATAAATTCTCACTTGAAAAGTAAGTCAATCAACAAGATTAAGTTTGGCCAGTTAAGGGTACCAGATTCCATTAAACATAGCTACCAGAGAAGGAAGGGATTATACTATAAATAATTAATTCAATTAATATGATTATATATATATATATATATATATATATATATATATATATATATATATATATATATATATATATATATATATATATATATATATATATATATATATATATGAAATGGACATTTCATAATGTGATGTCATTTGTTTACATTTGATACGCCATGAGCAGATATGAATGTATGTGAGAGATTCATGGAAGATTGAAGTTTAAATACAGTAAATTTGACTTTGCTAACCAAACGCTCCTTTGTGGCCAAATTGGTAAAGGCATGTCAAGCTAAATGATGGTTCCGTATAGGATACAGGTTTGAATCCTGTCGGAGGACAAATATTTTCTGTGAAAATTTCTTGGACATTCAGGCTGGTAAATGTTTAATACTGTTTATTATAAACAGAGCATTTACTTAAATATATGTATCTATAAAAAGAATGTATAAACATAAAAATGCCTTAAAATATATATATATATAACTTTAAAACTGTTGTGTTGAGAGCCTGTTATCCTCCTTACTATCTTAAATGCAATGACCCATTCATGATAAGTAGTCCTTGGTAATTGTCTAGAAAAAAAAGGAGATAATACTATTGCAGTGACTTGTTTAGCTGAGTATTTAATACTGCTATCATGACTGACTCTTTTGAGTTAAGTGTTGTGTCTTGTTAGATCCCACATCATAACAAAAAAAGACAAAATAAATAAATAAGTAAATAATAGATAAAATAATTGAAATTCATTGATGTCATTGTTTTGGTTGAAAGAAAAAGAGAAAAAAAATTTCCAAGGAAGGCAATAAAGCCACTAAGACACAAAGGGTTACTGAGTATGAAAGAATTAGAAAGCAGAAAAATTATTAAGGAGCAAGAACAATAGGAGGTTAATCAGGAAGACATTAGATAATGACTGACATTGAATTTAAATTTTTAAAGATAAAATTTGGCTGGAAAGAGACATCCACAAGCGAGAAGTGTGAGAAAAGAAAACTGTCAGTAGAGAACTTACAGTTACATCTAACCAGTTCAATTATAAATTGATGAGACTTTGTTGTCAATCTAGTACTACACTTAAATTCAAAAAGTCTAGGTACCATAGCAAAGAGGTCTTCTGAACAGTTACCATGAAAGTGTTTATAGAAAAGGCACAGAGAGGCAACTTTATGACTGTAGCTGAGCTGCCAAGTCGGGAATGATAATATTGCTGATTCTTATTTAGAATTTATAAAGTATCTCTAAATATATAGCAGGAGCATTGGACCATATGTGACAGCAATATTCTAAGTATTGGCGAATGTTAGACTTATAGATACGTAGAATAGATTCTGAACCAACTTTCTTACCAGCTGAACTATCAATGGATTCTATATAGTCTTTTCATTTCATGTCAGCAGAAAATGTTAGCCCAAGTACATGTAGCAAGTCACTCTCCTGGAGGTCAGCATCAGTCATGCTGATGAAAGGCAGAAATGGTTCTCTCAGATTCCACCATTATTATGATTATCAAATATCCATGCGAGAAATATATAGCAATATAAAGTTGAATATAAACAAACGAAAAGAATTGTAAAGTATTAAAATAATATTTGGTGAAAGGCTTTCATCAGTATTTTACAAGAATGAAAATAATAAATATTTACTTAAAAAATCTAAAAACATTTGTTCCTGGCTGCTTGAATTTAATGTGTTGGCAATTAGGTCTCATTGTTTTACTGTTGAAATAGCTAAAGGCAACAGTATGTTCTATATTGATATTTTGTTTTCTCACACTTCTCTCCACTGGTTTATTTTCTCACACTTCTCTCCTCTGGTTTGTTTTCTCACACTTCTCTCCACTGGTTTCTCTTCTCACACTTCTTTCCACTGGTTTATTTTCTCACACTTCTCTCCTCCTGTTTATTTTCTCACACTTCTCTCCTCCTGTTTCTTCTCTCACACTTCTCTTCTCTGGTTTGTTTTCTCACACTTCTCTCCTCTGGTTTGTTTTCTCACACTTCGCTCCACTGGTTTATTTTCTCACACTTCTCTCCTGTTTATTTTCTCACACTTCTCTCCTCCTGTTTCTTTCTCACACTTCTCTTCTCTGGTTTGTTTTCTCACTTCTCTCCTCTGGTTTGTTTTCTCACACTTGCTCCACTGGGTCACAACTTCTCTCCTCTGGTTTGTTTCTCACACTTCTCTCCACTGGTTTCTCTTCTCACACTTCTCTCCACTGGTTTCTCTTCTCACACTTCTCTCCTCTGGTTTTTTTTCTCACACTTTCTCCTCTGGTTTATTTTCTCACTTCTCTCCACTTTCTCACACTTCTTTCCACTGGTTTATTTTCTCATTTTTCCTGTTTACACTTCTCTCCTCCTGGTTTCTGGTTTGTTTTCACACACTTCTCTCCTCTGGTTTGTTTTTTTCTTCTGCCCACTGGTTTATTTTCTCACACTTCTGGTTTGTTTCTCCACTGGTTTCTCTTCTCACACTTTTGGTTTCTTCTTTCACACTTCTCCTCTGGTTTATTTTTCACACTTCTCTCCTGGTTTATTTTTTCTCTCCTCCGGGTTTTTTCTCACACTTCTCTCCTCTGGTTTGTTTTCTCACTTCTCTCCACTGGTTTCTCTTCTCACAAATTCTCACACTTCTCTTCTCTGGTTTGTTTTCTCACATCTCTCCTCTGGTTTGTTTTTCTTCCACTGGTTTATTTTCTCACTTCTCTCCTCTGTTTGTTTCCTCACACTTCTCTCCACTTTCTCTTTCTCTCTCCACTGGTTTCTCTTCTCCACTTCTTTCCACTGGTTTATTTTCTCACACTTCTCTCCTCCTGTTTATTTTCTCACACTTCTCTCCTCCTCCTGTTTCTTTCTCACACTTCTCTTCTCTGGGTTTTCTCACACTTCTCTTTGGTTTGTTTTTCACACTTTCCACTGGTTTATTTTCTCACACTTCTCTCCTCTGGTTTGTTTCCTCACACTTCTCCACTGGTTTCTCTTCTCACACTTCTCCACTGGTTTCTCTTCTCACTTCTCTCCTCTGGTTTATTTTCTTCTCTTCTCTCCTCCAGTTTATTTTTCTCACACTTCTCTCCTCTGGTTTATTTTCTCACACTTCTCTCCTCTGGTTTGTTTTCACACTTTCTCCACTGGTTTCTCTTTCTCACACTTCTTTCCACTGGTTTATTTTCTCACACTTCTCTCCTCCTGTTTACCACTTCTCTCCTCCTGTTTCTTTCTCTCACAACACTTCTCTCCTCTGGTTTATTTTCTCACACTTCTCTCCTCTGGTTTATTTTCTCACACTTCTCTCCTCTGGTTTGTTTCCTCACACTTCTCTCCACTGGTTTCTCTTCTCACACTTCTCTCCACTGGTTTCTCTTCTCACACTTCTCTCCTCTGGTTTATTTTCTCACACTTCTCTCCTCCGGTTTATTTTCTCACACTTCTCTCTCCTGGTTTGAAACTTCTCTCCACTGGTTTTCTCTTTTCACACTTCTCTCCTCCTGTTTCTTCTCTCACACTTCTCTCCACTGGTTTCTCTTCTCACACTTCTCTCCACTGGTTTATTTTCTCACACTTCTCTCCTCTGGTTTGTTTTCTCACACTTCTCTCTTCTGGTTTTTTGCTTTCCTGATATCTCCAATCATCAAAAATTTAAATGTGACGATAATCACCATCTTTTGCCTTCCTGAAATCTGTTCTTTTATTGTCCTTTCTCCTCAGTAACATTTACTCATTCTCTTACACTCCCAGTAAATGCTTGCATCTTAGCAGACTAGCTTGGGGGGAAATGATTAAAAAAAAGAAACACTTGATGTAAATAAATTCTAACTTGTATACAAGGCTGTAACATTATAAAGACTTTTAGCAATTCATTCTACTTTTGTCATTTATTCTATTGATGCCACATGTTTTATTCTGCGATATGCTAACCACCTTTACCAACAAGAACTCTGAAAACGGAAAATGAGAGTAAAAGTTTCTTGGAAGAAAACAAACTTATTTTCCTAATTATATATGCATACATACATACATACATACATACACACACACATGCACACATGCATATATATATACACACATAAATATATATATATATATATATATATATATATATATATACATGCATATATATATATAATACATATATATATATATACATAAATATATGTATAATTATATATATATATCTATATATATATATATAGATAGATAGATAGATAGATAGAGAGAGAGAGGGGGAGAGAGAGGGAGAGAGAGAAAGAGAGAGGGGGAGAGAGAGAAAGAGAGAGAGTGAAAAAAATTTAAAAATTTATCTGATTTTACTATTAAATAGTTCTGTAGAACAGCCAATTTTTTTCTTCATTTTTTTTTTAAGCTGAAAATAGAAAGCAAAGAGAAATGGCCATTGAGATTTTCAGTGTTAGTGAGGTTATATAAAAACTTGCTTAAAATGATAAAAAAAAAATTAGATGTAAGCTAAAACTGACAGTGGTGCATCACAAGGAACCACTTCACATTCCCCAAGATGAATTAGTACACACAGCCAGAATTTGTACCTCATAGGCCGACTGATTGGATACTGAGGTGTGTCCTCAAGGTATCTGATTAGGAATGATTTAGAGGAGTGAGTTGAAGATTTTCTTTTTTTTTTGGTTCTTTACTTTTTCTTACCCAGCATGTCCTATATTTCATGATACCTACTCCAATCTGGCAATCGCCAGCCACCCACTTTACTTCTGGACTCCCACCAACACCGATTCTGTGACATTTCAAATTCAGCAAGGCTTCCAATCAGTCTTGCACAAGTCTTTTTTTTTTTTTTAAACTAACATGAAGATCAATCAAAGTCTGTCACATGGTAATTTTTTTTACTTTAATTCATTTTATATATATATATATATATATATATATATATATATATATATATATATATATATATATATATATATATTGGAGAGGGTAAGAAACTTTATTTTCTTGTAAAATTTTACTTTGACTGAATTTTCTTTTTGATGTTTCAATTTCTTTTTTTTTAAATTATTTTTTTAAACTTTCTTTGGGAATATGGATGGATTGAACACAATCCAGAAGAAAATTTAAAAGAAAAAATTCCTCATCATCGTCATCATCATCATCATCATCATTGTTACTATTAACATAATCGCTACTTGTATACTTAGTAATTTTCATTAAGTTTATTAATTTCATTTCTCATGGCCATCTCATTTAGCTGTCAAAATGTTTCTCCTACAATTACAAATAATAACAATATCATCGATATTTAATAATGATGGAAAAGAGAAAAATGTACACATGATAGAGTATCAACAATCATATAGTGGGAATGGTGCAAATGAAAGATATCAACACAAACTAAAAGCTGTCTTAGAAAATTAAAAAAAAAAACTATAAGCACACTGAAATTTTAATATCCAGACAGCACAAAATGATTCTTGTTATGCATGTAGTAAGACAATGTGCAGTTCATTTCTGTATACGTGTTTTCGTATTTGAAGTGCAATTAAAATGGAATGAATCTTCATGCATAAGTCCATCCATTTATATAATACAAATAATAATGAAATAATACCATATAAAAATGAAACAATCAAAATAATGAGATAATATTACATAATAATGAAATATTTTAGAATAAGTTATCAATGCTATATAATAATGAAACTGCATAAATAATAATGAAACTGCATAAATAATAATGAAACAATGCTATATAGTAACAATTTAACAAAAATATATAGTAATGAAACAATACAAATAATAATCAAACAATAAATACAAAGAACACAAGAATAATGGAACAATATTATATAATAATGAAACAAATAATGGAACAATATTATACAATAATGAACCTATATTATATAATAATAGAACAATATTATATGATGAAGAAACAATACTATATAATAATGAAACAATAAAATAATGATGGAACAATATTATATCATAATGAAACAATGCAAATATTAATGGAACAATGTTATATAATAATGAAACAATATAATAAGGAAATAATATTGTATAATGATAAAATATAAATAATAATGAAACAATATTATATAATAATAAAACAATACAAATAATAATGAAACAATATTATATAATAATGACAGAATACTATACAATAATGAAACAATATTATATAATAATGAAACAATTCCAATAATAATGAAACAATATTATATAATATGATACAATAATAATTAAAATGCTTATATATGTTTATCATTTCAAGATGTTTCTTTAAAAAAAACCCTATACTAAAACAATTTCCATTAATTTGTCACCTTTTAAAAGATTTTATCATAAACAGATCTAATGAACAAGTGAGATTTATTTTATCTATTGTAAGATCGGCCCTTGTATTCTTTAACAATTTTCTTTTTTATCAAGTAATGTATTTTCTTTCTTTCCCCATCATAATAGATCAGCCTAGATTCCGGCAGCCGAAACAACGAAAAAAAAAATACGGACATTTTGGTAGAGGATGCATTATTATAAATTATTATGGACCAACAGCTGTTGGAGAATCCATACCACCACCACCACCCCAGCAGCTGCATGAGAGCAAAATGACCCCCTTCTTATTTTCTTTCTATTCTGCTTTCTTTTTCTTTTTTTTTCTTTTTTTTGATTTCTTTTTGTTTATATTTCATTTCTTTTATTCCTTTTTTTTTCTATTTTTACAGCTTTAATTCATTATTTCTTTTCTTTTCCTGCATTTTTTCTTCTTTTTTTTTGTTCTTTCTTTCTTTTGTTTGTATTTCTTTTTCTTTCTTTCTATTTCTACAATCTTAATTCATTATTTCCTTTCTCTTCTTTTTCCTGTTTCTTCTTTTTTTCTCTCTTTTTACTTCTTCAGCCTTATCTCTTTATTTTCTTTCTTTTCTTGCCTTTCCTTTCTTTTTTCTTTTTTATATTTTATTTATTTATTGTTGCTCCTTGTGCTTAATGGGGTAAAACAAAAAACAATTATATCAAACACAATATGGCCATCTCTTTTAGCTGCCAGAACAATAAGAAGAAATAAAAAAATTTCTTCTAAAATTTCAGACAATAACAGCAACAACAGTAGTATCAATATTTAATAATAAATGGAAAGAGAGAAAATAGACATAATAGGGTAGGAACAGTTATATACTGGGAACTGTGCAAAAGAATGGTATCAACACGTACTGGAAACTGTCTTAGAAAATAAAAAACTATAAAACTGAATTTTTTAATATCCAGACTGCACACAATTGCTGAAACCTCGAAGACTGATTCTGGTTATTATTTGATATTCCACTGACGATGCTGGAGAAGATCTTGCAGAAGGTAGTTCTTTTTAATTCCTACTAATTGAATAGAAGGTTTGGTTTGAAATTCATAACTATAGAATACAATGACAAAACGTAGCAATAGCAACCAATGCAATAATAATGGTAATGGTGAAATTAGCTGTTTCCTTATAAGAAAACATTTAACATTCATTGGCCAAAACAGTTACTATCTCTGTTAGTTGAAATTTAGAAAATCATCTCTTAAAACAGTTTTTCTATGGGAGTTTCCTTCCTAACCTTTCATTTATGGAACAAGGTCAGTACACTCATATCTTCAGTCATGATGACTTGTGATTTTGTGCTAGCACAATTATACATAGCTTGTGAACAGTTTCATCAACCCAATTTAATTTGCAACGGTTGGGTAAAATCATAGTATGGATTTCAGATCCAGTATTATTGTGAAAGAGACAAATTGACCATGGTCAGATTTGAACCTGGGTTTCATGTTAATGTTCTAACCACTTGGCCACAATAAATTTTCTTCCCAACCTTTCATTTATGGTTGTATAAAAAGTCAACAGCCTCATTATATCATATTTTTTCTTTTTTAATTACATGTGCTATTCATTTTAGTTGTTGCTATTGTTGGAAGTATTCAAGTGTTATGGTATCTGTTATTTCATAAAATTCTTTGTTTCTGATTCTGTAGCACCATTCTATAAGATCTGATAAAGGATTGTCTTCTTTAAAACCTGAAAGACTCACTCACTTGAAGTCATTTTTAATGATTGTTCTGAGAAAATGGTTGTATTTAGATAATTGTTTAGACATTTATGAACAAGTTGTATGACATGCATGACATTCATATATGTGTCTAGATATGATAATGTTTTTTAGAGCATGACTTGAACCCTTTAATATTTTAAAAGAATAATATCAATGGCTGCTTGTTTCTGAGGTACTTCCATCTGTTAGATTGGCTAGCTGATCCTTGCTTTAAATGGATTCGCAGGCATATTTTCTGTTTGTTCAATATCCACAGAGCCAATTTGTGATTTACAGTGCAACCACCATGATGAATGGACATTATTTACAGTTTCTTAGAGAGAGTGCATAATCTTGTATAGTCATTAATTGAACAAGGTCAGTACACTCATATCTTCAGTCATGATGACTTGTGATTTTCTGCTAGCACAATCATACACAGCTTGTGAACAGTTTCATCAACCCAATTTAATTTACAACGGTTGGGTAAAACCATAGTATGGATTTCAGATCCAGTATTATCATGAAAAAAACTAATTGACCATGGTCAGATTTGAACCTGGGTTTCATGCTAATGTTCTAACGACTTGGCCACAATAAATTAATAACAAATAAACAACTAATAATAATAACCTTTTATCTCAATAATTAGAGGATACCTGGATCAATGGCTAAGAACATATACAAAAACCATAGAGTGATTGTACCAAAAGACTACAGGATAAAATATAAGCAAATAAAAATAAATATTGACTAGGACCTCACCTGGGAAGCTGGGAAAAATGAAAGTTATACTCATAATGATTAACAATCTGAAGAAAGTTGCAAAGATTCTAGAGGTGATATTAGGATTGGAAATTAAGTGACGACTGTACAACAGGGCAAATATCAGCATGGATACTGAGAAAGGTGCTAGTGAATTGAGGAAAATTGATGTCACTTGATTATTGTGAGGATGAGATGGAGCTGAAAATCATGAATGGATTGGCAGATCATCAACATCAGATTGTAAGGAAAGCATTGATATTGAAAGATGACATTTATTTCTGGTAAAGGAGATGGTAAGACTGAGGACATTTGAGAAATGTTTATGGAGATAAGTCCTCAAAAAATCAGATCAGCAATTTACAAATGGATAACTGATAAGAAAAAGAACAAATAGGAAATGTTTCACTTTTATTATAGCTTCATCAGAGAATGAGAAAAAGTAGAAAGAAATTTTGGTATTTTTTACTTTTGTGCTGTTTGATTTTCATTGATATAGAACTCTGATCAGATAGATGTAACATAAGGCATCTGGATAGGCATGTAGTTGTGTGATCAATATAATCATTTATGAGTTCAGTTTGATCAGGAACACAGTTCCTTAAGGTGCATTTGAACTCAAAGACAATGTTCGTTTGCTGTAATTTTGACTTAGCTGGTGTGTTGTTATTTTTGAGGATAAGGTTAGCTGTTTTAAATTTTTTATAATAGATAATTAATTTGATTTTTTTATTCGGGTCAGTTTGGGTATTGGGGTCGATGGTCAATTGGAACATTATCTATGAGTTCAAATGCCCCTTAAGGATTCTATATGAATAGAAAATGAATTCAGTAAATATATAAAAATAGAAAGGGGGTGTAAGACAGAGATGTATCTTCTTGTTGGACTTATTCCACCTATACAGTGAGGCAATTCTGAGAGAATTATAAGTCCTACCAGGATCCATTATTAGCCGCCATAATCTTAACAATATAAGATATACAGAGGACACAGTGTTAATTGCAGGTACAAAAAGGAAACTACAAGAACTTCAACAGAAGGTTATGAAGTAAAGCAAGAAGAAAATACTAAACATTAATTGCAAAAGGAACAGTCCAGCATTCAAATTTCAGTTTGGAGATACTGAAGTCAAGCAAGTACAAAAATTTAAATATCTGGGAAGTGTTTTAATAAAGGACAGAAAGTGCATTAAAAAAGCTAAGCAAAGTATTATGAAACAGAAAAGTTTAATTAGAAATAAAGTAAAGAGTGCTGAACTGTCATGTAATATTAGTTATCCTCTGTGGCAATGGATAAAAGATGAAGAGAATTGAAGCAATTGTACAGAAGGATGCTTAGAATATCATGGACTGAACATGTGAGAAATGACAAAGTTGCAGAGAAAATGGAAACAAAAAGGACACTTATAGTTAACATCAAGAAGAGATAGTTGAAATATCTGGGACACATGAGGAAAGGCAGCTTGGGAAATTTGACACTTCAGGGGCATATCTAAAGGAAGAGAGGCAGAGGGAAGCAGCACATAACCTATCTGAAGGTATACACCATATAGAAGAAGAAGAAGAAGAAGAAGAAGAAAATTTTGAGAGAGTATGAAGCGGAAAGGAGATTGAAGAGTCTGAGAAAAAGGGAAGAGCAAAAGGGCAAACAAAAAGAAGAAGAAGAAGAAAAGAGGAAGAAGAAAGAAGAAGAAAATTTTGAGAGAGTATGAAGCAGAAAGGAGATTGACGAGTCGGACAAAAAGGACAAACAAAAAGAAGAAGAAGAAGAAGAAGAAGAAGAAAAGTGGAAGAAGAAGAAAATTTTGAGAGAGTATGAAGTGGAAAGGAGATTGAAGAGTCTGAGAAAAAGGGAAGAATAAAAGGGCAAACAAAAAGAAGAAGAAGAAGAAGAAGAAGAAGAAAGAAGAAAGAAGAAGAAGAAAGAAGAAAGAAGAAGAAAATTTTGAGAGAGTATGAAGCGGAAAGGAGATTGAAGAGTCTGAGAAAAAGGGAAGAGTAAAAGGGCAAAGAAAAAGAAGAAGAAGAAGAAGAAGAAAAAGTGGAAGAAGAAGAAGAAGAAAATTTTGAGAGAGTATGAAGCGGAAAGGAGATTGAAGAGTCGGACAAAAAGGGCAAAAAAAAAAAGAAGAAGAAGAAGAAGAAGAAGAAGAAAAGTGGAAGAGAAGAAGAAGCAGAAATTTTTGAGAGTCGGAGTAAAAAGGACAAACAAAAGAAGAGATTGAAGAAGCCTGAGAAAAAGGGAAGAAGAAAAGGGCAAATGAAAAAGAAGAAGAAGAAAAGGGAAGAAGAAGAAGAAAAAAAGAAGAAGAAGAAGAAGAAGAAAAGAAGAAATGAGAAGAAAAAGGAAATTTTGAGAGAGTATGAGAAAAAGGAAAGGAGATTGAAAAGGGAAAAGGGAAAAAAAAAGAAAAGAAAAAGAAGAAGAAGAAGAAAAAGTGGAAGAAGAAGAAGAAGAAAATTTTGAGAGAGTATGAAGCGGAAAGGAGATTGAAGAGTCGGACAAAAAGGGCAAACAAAAAGAAGAAGAAGAAGAAGAAGAAGAAGAAAAGTGGAAGAAGAAGAAGAAGAAAATTTTGAGAGAGTATGAAGTGGAAAGGAGATTGAAGAGTCTGAGAAAAAGGGAAGAATAAAAGGGCAAACAAAAAGAAGAAGAAGAAGAAGAAGAAGAAGAAGAAAGAAGAAGAAAATTTTGAGAGAGTATGAAGCGGAAAGGAGATTGAAGAGTCTGAGAAAAAGGGAAGAGTAAAAGGGCAAAGAAAAAGAAGAAGAAGAAGAAGAAGAAAAAGTGGAAGAAGAAGAAAATTTTGAGGGAGTATGAAGTGGAAAGGTGATTGAAAAGTCTGAAAAAAAGGGAAGAGTAAAAGGGCAAACAAAAAGAATAAGAAGAAGAAGAAAAAGAGGAAGAAGAAGAAGAAGAAGAAGAAGAAGAAGCAGGATGATGATGATGATGATGTGGTGTTACCTGGGAAATATCTGAAATATGGTATCATTCTTAAAAAAAAACATAAATATCAGATGTGAAACTGATTATGACACATAATTCATACATATATTTGGATTGTTTTGTATTATGTGTATTGATGTGTGTGTGTGTGTGTGGTAGGTGTTATGTGTTGCATATGGTGGGTGCCCAAGAATTTACTTAATGATTTCTTTGACCAGACATTTGGCCATATAGCTTAAAGCCTCAAAAGAAAAGAAGCAGCCAAAATACGCACCCCCACCCTCCACAAAAGAAAGTAGACACACAAAAAAAGACAACAACAAAAAATGAAGCAAATTGACCAAGGGTCAGTTTCTTGCTAAATATGATTAAGGGGGCCATAATTTTGTGGATGAAGGAGAGAGGAAAATGTCGACATAATAAAATATATTGTAAAAGACACTGCAATCTACAATAACCGGAAAATATTAGGAAGAAAGAATGGGGTTGCTGGATACTGAGGTAGAATATGGCTAGGGGTTATTTACAAGTAAAGATTTAATGAGCCTTACACACACACACACACACACATATATATATATATATATATACGAAGATAACATATTATGCAGTGCACAGGAAATACACGGAATGATATAACAGAATGTTCAATGTAAGAGAACAGATCTTAAATATATAATATACCTTTACTTATTCCTTTAGTAAGTTAGAGTAAGGAATAAGGATATATCTGTTTTATATATATATATATTGTGTATTTAGGCAGCAATCCCTCTTTTATACATGTTTTGTTAAAGATGACTGGACTGAAAAGTACCGCAATTAAGCTTTGTATTCAATTTTTCTTATGTTCGTACAAGTGTGCAAAACCTATCCAAAAGTCCTGCATTTCCAAGTGCTTTTGGCTATACTTTTAGCCATTATCAAGGTTGATTTTATTTTTACATTTAACTGAATGTATGAGTTGTATTATTTATGTATTTAGAGTTATAGGAATGTTTTATTTTCCAAAAAGAGTCAGCACATTGTAGCAGTGTTCATAGTTAATATTATTGAATGTTGGATTTTTCTTTTTTATTATTAAGGCTTTCATAATTTGTAATCTTTTTTACATGTGGATGAGGTTATTATGCTTGTATTTTCTACTAGTATGTTTCAGGTGGAGTCTGGTAGGTTTTTATGCATGTTTGAATGAGTTCTCATGGAGCTGTGGTCAGATAGGTGTAATGTAAGGTTCCTGGATAGGCATGTAGTAGTGTGATTGATGTAATTATTTATGTGTTTGGTTTCATCTGGAACACAGTTCCTGATCAAACTAAACTCATAAATAATTTATTTGTAATTTTATTTTTTATTTAAATTATTTTGGGTGCCTGGAGAATGTCAAGTTTGGCCAAAAATAACCACACTCTACACACTTTCCTTCCAAGCACATTACAACACTCCCAATATAATGAAAATTAATGAGAAATTGTAAAACACGTTTTCATGTGCTGCATTTTGTGCTTTAGAACTTTATCCAAGTTTCCCTTGTCCATAGGACTGTGCCCCTAGAACGATGACGTCTATCCTCAAGCCACTCCATCCAGAGCATTAGAAGCCAGTTCAAACAAGGATATACAAGTGATTGAAATTATTAGGAGGGTTTGAGATAATCCTAATTAAGTAACTCATCGAGTCTAGAAGTAATATATATATATATATATATATATATATATATATATATATATATATATATATATGTATGTATGTATATATATATATATATATATATATGTATATATATATATATATATATACATATTTATATATTCATATATATTTATATATATATATATATATATATATATATATATATATATATATATATATATATATATATATATATATATATATATATATATATATATATATATATATATATATATATATATATATATATATATATGACATTTTAATATTTTTCTGTTTTTCTTCCAACCCTCACATAACATCATTTTTTCCTACGTGTTTTTCAAAACTATTTATGAGAAATATTTGGAGATTTTATATCCATAGAATAATGAGAAATAAATTTCCTTGTCATATATTACTGTTTGGCAAATCTTTATCAATGGCATCATATTTTTTGTTGTTTTTTTTTTTGTTCTATTACACATGGTCTTTAAGCATCCATTACATTGAAGTTGGCCTACATAAAAATTCAGCCAATGTGAAACATATGGCTCCCTATCCCTTGACCAAGACAACATAGCAAAATCCTATGAGCAGGTATACAAGATTTCTTCTGGCATGGAAGTAAGGTAAAGCCGACAAAGCTGATTTAAAACCAATGATAATACCTTTTAAAGAATGAAGGAATGTTATTCACTCACATTTAGAGAAATGGAGTAAAATTAGAAGAAGATGAGGATGAATGAAGGAGGAGGAGGAGAAATGGTAAGGAAGAAAAGAAGAATGATTTGTGAAAGGAAATATTTTATATAAAGCAAAAAAGAAAGTAGGAAAATGCATTAAATCAAAAACAATAGAGGTTATTTTAGAAGGACAAAAATACAAAAATGTATATTTTTGTAGGATAATGAAAGAAAAAGATGTTTTCTTGTAAGAAGGAAAAGAAAGAAAGAAAGAAAGAAAGAAAGACAGAAAAACAGAGTGCAAATAAGAAAAAGAATGAGAAGGAGAACTGAATTATGTATAAAGAAAGAAAAAGCCAAACAAGAAACAAACAGAAAGATTTGAGAAGATAAATATAGAACAAATAAGAATAGAATGTCAGATGAAATGAACAAAATGATGTAGAAAGAAAAAAAGAAAGAAAGAAATAATTAGAGAAGAAGAAAAAGAGGAAGCAAATAAGGGAAGAAAGAGTCAGAAGAGGAAGGAAAGGAAATGTTGTAAAAAAGAAAAAAGGAATGAACATAAGAAATAAAGATAGAAGATGAAATAATGTAGTAGGGGGAGAATAAAAAGAAAAGCAGGAAATATGATATAAAAAAGTGAAAAAGAATAGACATAAGAAGAAAAAAAAAGAGAAAAATGGATGAAGAAGAATAAGAGGCAAAAAATAGCAGGAAGATATTATTGGGGTGGGGACTGACCAAAACAGAAAAACTTGGGCCAAGGCAAGAATATAAACAACAGTCATAATAATAATAATAATAATAATAATAATAGTAATAATAATAACAATAATAATAATAATGACAAGTATAGGGCAAAAAGATATATAATGTTGTATATTGACTGAACAGTTCAACCATTTAGAATGGAAAGATAAAAACTCGAAAAAAAAACAAAAAACAGCTGGACTATGGATAAAAATACAAAAATACAAGCCAAAAAAATAACTCAAAAAACATTGGAGCATGGGTCACTGAACATGCTGATAACTATCCCCACCTACCCATTTAGGCAAACACCCCTAACATTGCTCTTCTTCATCTGCCATCATGACTACCACCTCTGCAGTCTCAACATTAGGACAGTTTCCCACTTTTCTTTTCACTTAAAGAAAACAAAGAATTTGTGAGACTCCCTGAAAACAGGGTCATGTCTTTTCCCTTTAAAGTACTACCATATCTGCTTCCAATCTTTGGGATCACAGATTTTCCAAACGCTATCCGTTCTTAAACTTTAATATTATAGCTTCCTCACTATTCATAAACACTATCTTTTGTTACCATTTTAAATAAACAGATGATGGGGCAACCTTACAAACTAAGAATGAAAGGAGTTTTATAAAATAAATTAACTGTGCAGGTTACAGAATTATTATTATTTTAATGTTGAGTTATAAATTATTTCGATTTTTTGGTTATCAATTTTATTCTTCAAAAAAATAAAGTACAATAATTATTTTATTCATTTATTATACAGCCATTTGTTATATAGTCAATTATATAGTCAATGGGCACATGGCTGGGTGGTTAGAACATTTGCACTCTGACCATGTGACCTAGGTTTGAATCTCATCATGGTCGATTTGTCAGGAAGGGGACTTCCTGATGTTGTCGGACTGAAGGGGTCGATCGCAGCATGCAGCACCTTTGGAAAGTGCCTGAAAACTATACCATGTGTGGACCCAAGCCTTGTGAGTGAAACTGGGTAGACAGGACTCTTAGGTGTCATCGATAGATATGCTAGCACGAAGTCATAAGTCAATGTGACAGAGGGTTTGAGTGTGCTGGCCTTGTTCAAATTGTTGATCACGCTAGATAACATACTCTCTTCCAGAAACTGTAACTAAGGTCTGCCCAGTAGAGTTGCAGTATAAATCACAGGTGGGCTCTGTTGGTGTTGAACAAACACAAATGCACCTGAGACAGTGTCTCCAATAGGTATTGGCTAGCCGCACTAATAGATGGGTATCCTCGAATATGAGTGGCCAGCTATACATAGCTATATGTATAGTCAATATTATTTGCAATGACTTGTTACCACTTAACAAGTGATTCTTTGATAAATTTTGAGTAAAATACAACAGGTTTTACTGTGTCAAGTGATGCTTTATTATTTCTTAAGTATTTTATTAACTTTCTTAATTTTTACATCAATATTATTATCATTATTTGTTAGAACACAGACTTTGTAATGACTGGATGAATGTGGTATATGTTCTATTGCTGCAGGCATTTTTAGTTTAACATATTCAAGGTTGTAATGTGACTCAAAGTATTTTTTGAGACCAGGACATTTCTTTCATGTTGGTTTTCATTGAATAATGTTATTGGGATTTTTTGCTTTTCCCAACTGAGGTTCCCCAGAACTCTAAGGTTCCACAAAAGATCTCCAAGGGTTCTGCAAGAACAGGGGAGATAAGCTGATGCCCTTTTAACTTTTTATTTAATTTCTTATACATAATATTACTAAACACACACAATATATTCTTGGTTATTGTAATATTGTAATATAGACATCATCTTATCTAAGCTATTATTTTATTAAAAAATATAAGAATTATGGGGAATATATTTAGTGATGTCTGTACAGCACTGAAAAATTTGACAAAGAAGTATTAATTTTTTTCTTAAACCAGTTATTCAAAAATATATACTATGATATTTACCACGTGAATTACAATGAAAATAAAATGAGAAAGATATGGTATATAATTTAGTTTTTGTGCAGGGGTTCCTTGATGCATAATTTATTTTAAGGGTTACGCAAGGGTAAAATGGTAAGAAACACTGCTCTAGATTTTAACACTAGTCTAGGCTGTCTATGCTGCTTGGATTCATTAATTTACAATTTTCAAGAGTTATTGGTTTTTCAAAAAGTTAACTATTTTATTCTTATTTTCTTTCTTAATTGTTTAATATTTTTCATTGTATTTTTCATCTTCTATTTGTTTCTTTCTTGTATGAATTTATCAACTTCACATCAGTTAAAATGAAGATATAATAAAATTACTTTATTCCTCTTTCAGATAAAAATTTACTATAGAAATGCATTGAAAATCAGGAAGAACGGGATTTATAGGGATCAGAAATTAAGGAAAGGGTTTCTAAGGGAAGAGAATTATAATAGAATTTTACTATAGAAATGCATTTTCAGGAAGATATTTTAAGGATCAGGAATTTGAAAGGGTTTCTAAGGAAGAATTATAATAGAATTTTTTAGAAATGCATTGAAAATCAGGAAGAAAGGGGATTCTAGGGATCAGGAATTAAGGAAAGGGTTTCTAAGGGAAGAGAATTATAATAGAATTTTACTATAGAAATGCATTGAAAATCAGGAAGAAAGGGAATTCTAGGGATCAGGAATTAAGGAAATGATTTCTAAGGGAAGAGAATTATTATATAATAGAATTTTACTATAGAAATGCATTGAAAATCAGGAAGAAAGGGAACTCTAAGGATCACGAATTAAGGAAAGGGTTTCTAAGGGAAGAGAATTATTATATAATAGATAAATATTTACTATAGAAAACTATTGATGCTGAATTCTTACAAATGCTTCTGACAGGTAAAGAAAAATAATTTTCCTTTCAATACTTCTCGGCATAAAAATAAATCTATCTGATATTTATTGTAGAAACCATAAAGATCAATAAACATCAAAAAAACAAGAACAGACACCAATGTTATTAATCTTTTTTCTTACATATATTTAATAGTGCATTATTCATTTTATTTGCATCTCTTAACAATATCCACCCAGGGAAACATTTGCATAAAAAACAATGAGAAAGAAAGAATTGGAAATTTTTAGTATTTAATATTTGCCTCCAGTTCCTTTCTTGAAAGTCTATTAGAGACAAATGTTTCTAGCAGGTAATAAGAGGTTTTATAGAACATTAGCATCTTGAAGATTTGTCAAGCTACCTCAAGATTGAAACAGAAAATACGATAGTGCCCAATATTATAAAAATACCACTGTGAAAAACGTGTTCTACATCATAAAGAATTTGCATAAAAAAGAACAAATCATAAAGTAAGTTACAGAGCAAATATTTGGTTTGATTTGATTCATTTGTTTAACACCTTAAGGGTCATTTAATGCCAAAATTTAATTTTCTTGGGAGCCTGTAAGTAATAAAAATGATGTTATTCTGCTTTCACAATTGAATACATGGTAGATGATACACAGCTTTCATGCATATACATGTTTATGTGGACATAATTACTAGAGGCGGTGATAGTTGTGTTCTATGTTTTAGTTTTGTTGAAGTTATATTTTGGAATACAGTTTGATTTCTTGAAGAAATTGGAGGATATTATATGGATTAACATCATGAAAGTTCTTTCATGTTGACTGTTGGCCATTTTGCTTTAAAATAGTATTGTAGGTAATTTTACTATAAATCGGTATTGTTGGTATTATTTTATATAAATGTGTATTTGTGATATTTTTACTATAAAAATGTATTTTTATGCTTTCAGTATTTTCTTTCTTGTTTGGGGATTCACTATTTGCCCATAGCTGGGACCCTAGCAGGTGCTACCACCCCGGGTCAGCATAAACCTGGGAACAACAACAACTAAGAGGTGATTCCCTGCTCCTCAAGACCTTCAATCACCTGATCAGAGAACTTGCTGCAGGATGGAGTTTATAGTCAAACCCAGGACTTTAAATATTTGGTGGAAATGACCTTGGAAAGTTTGTTTAGTTGGTGCAGGTGCTTGTAATTGGTTCGTTGATTCATTTTTTATGGTCTCCCAAACTGGCAAGTTATTTAAAGCCAGGGCATATTTTTACAAATTTCTTAGAGATAACAATGACTTACAATGCAAGTCCTACTAATTAACTTGTAGCTGGCGAGATGGGTGGAGGGGAGAAGAGATGGATTCATACCTTTCTCAAGTGTATCTATGCATATATGAATATAATTAACTCAGCTGGTATTGGAACTCAGGCTTATGATCTCCAATTTAAGTTGTTATTTTTAACACTACCTGCAAATCCAAATTTACAGTACCTGGTATTCCTAAGAAGTCACCAATCTAGGTACTAACCAGGCTCAACATTGCTTAAATTCACTGATCGTATGAGAACAGGTGTTTCAACATGATATGGCTCTATGCTTACAGGTGGCTGTAAGAGAAACTCAGTAAGCATACATGGTAGTTAGGCATGTACTTCCATTTATATTGGCATAGATAGATAGATAGATAGATAGATAGATAGATAGATAGATAGATAGATAGATAGATGGAGACTGACAGATAGACAGACAAATAGATAATTAATATGCTTAGATAGATAGGTAGATAGATATATAATTGATATGCTGAGATAGATAGATAGATAGATAGATAGATATGAACAGACTGGTATAGATATGAAAAAACTGGGATCAATAGTTATGCACAGGCTGACATAGATAGACAGATATGAACAGAATAAGACTTTGTATTTTTATTTGTATCTGATGTTTTTATCCAAATTTGTATGCATGTTTATCAGGAAAACACTCTCCAGCGGCTACCAAGACTGTCCTTTTCAGGACAATGCTCTTCAGTGACTACCAAGACTGTCCTTTTCAAGACAATGCTCTCCAGTGACTACCATGACTGTCCTTTTCAGGACAATGCTCACCAGTGACTACCATGACTGTCCTTTTCAGGACAACGCTCTCCAGTGATTACCAAGACTGTCCCTTTCAAGACAACGCTCTCCAGTGACTGCTAAGACTGGCCTTTTCAGAACAATGCTCAAAAGTTACTACCAAGACTGTCCTTTTCAGGACAACACTCTCCAGTGACTACTAAGACTGTCCTTTTCAGAACAATACTCTCCAGTGACTACCAAGACTGTCCTTTTCAGAACAACACTCTCCAGTGACTACTAAGACTGTCCTTTTCAGGACAACGCTCTCCAGTGACTACCATGACTGTCCTTTTCAGGACAATGCTCTTCTCACCCTCTATAAGAGCTTGCAGACTTATCTCTTGCCTATTGCACTGTAACATTATTTTTGTTTATGTATTTGCTTTTAACAAAAATAAACTTGGCAATATATGTTTTACTCAAGTCTTCAGATTTTTTTCTGTAGTTATCTTCCATCATTCAATATCTGTTTGTGGGCCAATATACCACCCACAACAATTTAATTGAAAGTTAACCAGAATAATTTTTAGTTTAAGCAATCTATCAGCCTGTACATTCAAGGATTCTTAATAAAGTATTCTTTGGCAGGGATTGAACCTGCATTCCCCTTGCAGAAAAAAAAACACCTTTGTAAGCATGCCAGATCAAAGAGTGGTTTCTTCTACAAAGGTGGATGCTGGTTCAATCCATGCCAAAGAGCATGTTCTCTTTATTAAGATTTCCTGAATATGCAGGACAATAGACATAATACACACCATTTAAAATAAAAACAAGCAGACTGAGAGATAGATGGATACTGAAGAAGCTGAAGTAGATAGATAGATAGATAGATAGATAGATAGATAGATAGATTGGAAGAGACTGAGATAGATAGATAGATAGATAGATAGATAGATAGATAGATTGGAAGAGACTGAGATAGATAGATAGATAGATAGATAGATAGATAGATAGATAGATAGATAGATAGATAGATAGATAGATAGATTGGAAGAGACTGAGATAGATAGATAGATAGATAGATAAAGTAAAACAGAAACAAAGACAGAGACTATCCAAATCACTATAAAGAAAAATTAAAATTTTCTCAGTTAATACCAATGTAAAGAAAAACTTCTAAAAGAATCAATGATGTTTTTCTATCCCAAACTACCAATGCAAGTAAATAATTACAAGCTATCATTTCCCGAATAAAATAAAAAAAAAAAAATTCTATATTATTTAGCCATTATCCATAAAGAGTGGCATTTCTGCAAGTAAATCTACAAATATATGGCTTTAGAACACAAATAAAAAAAGGTCTATGGGGCCATTGCCAGGTCAAGCACAATAGCCTTCTCCTCAGATTTCCTTCAGCAACAAAATATTAAAAAAAAAAGATTTGGCTTAAAGAACTAATAATGACCAAAGATATATTTTATAGGATAAGCATAAAAATCAATGTTTTCTATTTTTATAGATAGAAAATATACGAGTTATAAAATATAGAACTTTGGAAGTCTTTCAATTCAGATAATTTAAGATCAATTCTTAAGTAAGAATACTGATATATATATATATATATATATATATATATATATATATATATATCAGTATTCTTAAGAATTGATCTTATACACACACACACACACACATATATGTGTGTGTGTGTGTGTGTATAATGTCGAATTTTATTATGCAGTTTAATATTTTTACTGTAAAATTAGTATTAACTAAATGATGTTCATAAAATTTTCAGGATATGTCTATATTTATATAAGTAATATCTTGTGTGTGTTTCAGCATATAATTGTCTATATTAAGACTACTGACCATTATAATACCTGTCCATATTAAGCATACTGACAATAACTATCCATATTAAAATATTGGCAATTACTTGAAGGTGTCAGACTCTGTTATGCAGACAAATTCAATGCAACATAAATTTTATTCATAATAAATCCAAACATTAAAGTCTATAGAAGCCTGTATATACCTGAATAAGTTAAAATTTAAGATGAAAAGAAATTGTTGTGATGTTGTCCTTTCTGCTCTTCCCTCTTTTTTAAACTTATTCACCATTCTCTTGATGGTTCTTGAATGGATTTTGAAGATGGAAGCCAGTGTATGAATGTTGGCACCATTTCTGAAGGCCTAAATAATCTTTTTCCTCTCACCATTGCTCAGTTGGGAAAACAGTGGGTCTGACACAAAATGATTTTAACCTGTACTTTTTCTAGTTGAACAACTCAAAGGGTTTTTCAGTGATTCTTATGACAAATGGTGTCAAGATAGCTAAACATCTAATGTGAAAACCTGGAAAAAAGAAAATCAGTTAGTTTAGTTTTTTTAGGTATGAAATATTTTTGTGGGATGGAAAATTATGCTGCAACAGGATTTGAACACTTTTGCTGTTACACTGGGTACATATATACAAGTATATATATATATATATATATATATATATATATATATATATATATATATATGTTTCTAGGATGTTTCTATAATTAATGAATTTGTTAAAATAATCATCAAGGCAGATAAAATGGGTAACCATTACAAAAGTCAATACAACTATATACTATAAAGGTATTAACAGGAAGTCAATAAATTTTATAAAAAGGCCCCCAGCAGCTGGGAAAATAACATCAATAAGGATGTAAAAAAATAGGATCTACAAATTGCATAAACAACTTGAATTCATCACAGTTAAAGACAATAAGGCTAATTTTCTAAACAACCCTCAATACTGATTACTCAATCCAACAAAAAATAATATTGATAAAATCAGCAAAAACATCCTTGAAAAGGCAAGCAATTACACCAAAAATGCTCTAGAAATCAACCAGAACAGCAGAAGCCATAGAATGGTTTAATAACAAAAAGGAAAAATGAATATACATTCATTCAATTTGAAATTTGTGACTTTTACCTATCCATTACTGGTGGCTATAAAGCTAGCTAAAAATTACTGCCCTATTAGTGATAATGAAATAAATATCATAAAGCAGACACAAACACCTGTACTATTCCACAATGATTGTCTATGGACCAAGAGAAATAACCCAGAGTTGCTATTGGCATGTATGGCTCAGCAGAAGCAAGTAATATTGTTGGGATTCTCTTGTTGAGGTAACTTAGATTTATGTTTGACATTAAGGACACTGGACTATATACAGATAATGGTGCAATACTCCTCTGTAAAAGTAGCCCTCATAATACAGACCAACTAGGAAAAGAACTTATAAAATTTTTATGGATCATCATCTAAATATTACCCTCGCCATCAATGTCAAAGTGATCAACTTTCTAGATATAACATTAGATCTGAATAATGGTTATCATAAATGATATAGACTCACCCAGCTATAAATAGGAGCAGGTACTGCCTTTTGGAGAGGGAAGTTTCCAGCAGTAGGCTCTGACAGTCGGACCGAACATTCTTGCTGTAACACTCTTGTTTGTATATGTTTGTATTACTGCTTCTGTTAATATATTTGTTTAACTAAAATCCTCACTTTTTTATTTCTGGCTTTAACAAGACCACAACAAATATGTTAGTTAAGATTCAAACCACCACAAAATTCTAGATAATTTGTATATATCAGTCCAAGTTAGATTATTCATCAACTCCTGCAACAAGGAAATATTTGATAATGTTACTAAATATATAAAAGTTTTTGAAACTAAGCAAGCATAAAGCAGATTTAGAGTATTTACAAAAAAACAAAGATGAAAAGAAAAATAGAAACACCATAAATGCAACATCATATGGTTTAATCCACTTTTTAACCATAATGTTGGAAAAATTTTCCAAAAATTAATCAATAAGCATTTATTCAGATTTTAACAAAAATAATGTTAGAATCATTTATAGCCACATCAGTAATATCGACAGATCTATATCCCAGCATAACAACACCATATTAAATAAACATCTTTCCCAAAAAGACAACGTAAATTTTTCTGAAAATAAATGCAACTACCAGAAGAATACAATCTGTCCATTAAATGGTCAATGTATGGCCAATATTGTATATCGAGCGAGCATAAGTTCCAGTAGTAATGTTAGATTTTATTTGGGCCTTACCAGAAATCCTTGGAAGTTTCACTTCTACCATCACTGAATGGCTTTGGCTAATATTAAATACAGAAACAACACTGCTTTCTCTATTTTTGACAACTGAAAAATATCAGCAATTCCCCTTCAATTAACTGGAGTAGTATAGAAAAGGAAAAATCATATAATGGTAACAGAAATAAATGTAACCTATGTTTGGTTGAAAAAAATGATTATCTTAAAACACATATATAATCCAGGATTATTAAACAAGAGAAATGAAATGGTGGTTACATGTAGGCATAAAATAAATATCTACTTAAATGTGTCGATCCAGATTAATTTTAATACTAACCACAGTTTAATTTTTAGTGTATATTATGGTTTATTATATATTATAATTTATTGCTAATAATTACTGTTTAATTTTATTTTTATATTATTATTTTAAATATGTTTAAGTAAGCACCTTTAATTAAATAATTGATGATCTACTACTCTAAACTTAAATAAAAACAATAATTATAAATAAATACAAATTCATATGCTAATCACAGTTATTTTAATTGGCAAATATAATGTTTTAACAGATATATTTTTAAATAATATATATATATATATATATATATATATATATATATATATATATGTATGTATGTATGTATGTATGTGGGTGGGGGAACAGTTACCAGTATGGAAAATGAATATGAATACTTAAACTGAATTCAAATTGCAATGAAAGCTACATATGTTCACTTTATGTTAATGTTCTTGAGAAAGGCATGAATCCACCTCTCCTTGAAAAAATTGACAGATTACTGGCATGCCACAATGTATGATGAATAAAAGAATGATATAGGGAATAAACCCTATACTCTCCTAAAAGAAATCTCTTATTCCATATTCAACCTTGACCAGGTCTTGTCGTCTCATGCTCAGTCATTCTGTTTCAGTCAATGTCTGTGTATTGTATGTTACAATTTTGCCAGAAGTTATTGTATGTTACAATTTTGCCAGAAGTTATTGTATGTTACAATTTTGCCAGAAGTTATTGTATGTTACAATGTTGCTAGAAGTTATTGTATGTTACAATGTTGCCAGAAGTTATTGTATGTTACAATGTTGCCAGAAGTTAGTTATATAAAAGCTTAAAATCATTCTTGATTGGAATGGAAATCCTGGTTGAAACATGTTGGAGTAATCTCCTGGCTGAATTTAAAAATTTTCAAATATTGGAGAAATAAAAACATCATAACTTTATGATCTGTCTATATTTCTGAGATGACATACACTATTTACATTGTTCGGACTATCATCCTCATCTTTGTTGTTATATTTATCTCAACATTTGGACTGTTGTACACACCAGGTGGTTGGAATGTTGAACTGAATCCTTTATTTCATTCACTGGGGTAGATTGTTCTAGTTCCACATGCCATGTTTAATGGATTTCAGTTATCAGTTATCTCCTGTTAATTCCCCTCTCCAAGTTCTCATTCCCACTTTAACCAGGTATTGAACTCACACTCTTTGGTAAGCAGTACCCTACTACATAACAACTACCCTGGGTACATGGCAGCAGCCCCAATAAACTGGAATAGGTGGGTACAAGAGGAGGACAACAACACTCAGAAAACAGTCTGCCTGCCTTATGTGAAGGGGTTATTGAAGAAAATACAAAGGATCTGCGGTCCATATAACATCAGGACAACCTTCAAAAGCTGGACGACACTTTGCAGATACCTCTCCCAAGTAAGAACCCCCCACCCATAGAGGAGAACATAACTAAAGACTATGTGTACGCCATCCCGTGCAACTACGGAAAGAAATATAAAGGGGAGGCAGACCGCCCTTTAAGGTAAGGCTTCAAGAACACCAAAAAGCTGTAACACAAGAGGAAGTGGAAAAATCAGGTGTGGCTGTCCACATATCAAGAGAAAAGGGAGATCACTGTCCTCTGTGGGATCAGGTTGAAATCAGACAAAGAACATCATTGGAAAATTTGTAAACTTAAGGAATCAGCACATATGCTAGGCCACAAAAAATCCTGTGCCTAGAAAGGAATACAATATGGGAGTGCCAAAGAAAAGCAATAATAACAATGAAAATTGCAATATGAGCTCTGGTAAAAAATATGCAATGATAACAGCAAAAATTGCAATATGAGCACTGATAAAAATGGTTGTTGAAGACATTAGGTATATAAGTCACAGAAATTCATACACAGATGTCCTCAAGGACACATGGCACAGTGGATAAAGGTGTTAGTTAGATCCAGTGACAGGACCCAAAGAATTTGAGTTCAATACTTGGTTAAGGTGGAAATGAGAACTTGGAGAGGGGAATTAACATAACTGATAACTGACATGGCATGTGGAACTAGAACAGTCTACCTCAGTGATCAAAATAAAGGATTCAGTTCGACATTCCAACCACCTGAAGAAGACTGGAGCATACAACGGCCAAAACGTTGTGAAAAATATGACAGCAAACATGAGTATGATAGTCCGAACAATGTGGATAGTATAATTTTATGAATTTGAAACTTTGTTTCTTTCTCTCCTTCTTCCCCTCTCTTCTCTCTCTACCCCCGTCTCTCTCTCTCCCACCCTCCCTTTTCCTTACTCCCTCTCCCCTATCTCTCTCTCTTTTTCAGTTTTACATTTTTTTATGTTTTGTTGTTTATTTCAGTAGTTCCAACACGATAAAGAAAATTTGACAATTCTGACAAGCTGCTCTTGAAATTCAGACACTAAACGGCGGACCATTCCAGGCTAGAAGATTTCTTATGTTTATTTTTTTGTTTTTTTACTGGCTCCTTAAGGTACCAAATTTTGTATACCACAGAGAATTTAAAAACAGTGTTTGTATTATCCTCAATGGGAATAACTCTTTGAGAATTTAGTTCTTTATCTCTGTGTATGTTGTCATCTTTGAGTGACAGATTTGAGTTTCATTTCATTATTAGAAACTGTATTAACAGTTATTACCAAAAACATTCAGAACATCCTTTTTACCCAAAGTAAGTAAAGCATAAACATACAAAGGTGTAGTTTCCCACAACATCGCAAACGGCTACAAAACCAAAACATCAACCTCAGAAATCATGCCATGTTCTTATCATGTTCTCATCAGATCAAGAGTTTCATATGGATGCCATGCATGTCATGAAACCATTCAGAAATATCTAAACTATAGCTCTATGTCAACACTTCCTAAAATCAATGGTAAAAAAAGGATTTGAGCAAGAAAAGCTTGAGGGTGTTTGCAAAGGTCATCATTCTTTCAACATTCTGAATTGGCACTACAGAATCACAGAGAACTGTACCAAATAGCAGAAACCACATCACTCAAGGACTACAAGCAGCAGCAACAACTAAAATGGATAGCACATGTAACTTGAAAAAATAAATATATAATCAAGCTGTTAACATTCCACATGACTTCAAATTAAAAGATTTGGAAGGAAAACCCCATCAAAACTGGAAAGAGCAATAAAAGCTACTGAACTTGAGAAATTTGTTTTCCTTAAATAAAGTCTTTAAAGAGAAAGATTTTATAAATTTAAACCAAAAACAGTACTGGTTTCTAAGTCAATGAATACCAAATGTTTCCTTATAGGGAAATGGCTAATATTACCAATACCATTACCATTGTTACTACCCATAAAAATATCAGGATATTACATATAAATGGCTGCCATTCAGTTTATATCTGAACAGAATGTAAAACTTTCATCCTATGTAATATTAATGTTAATATTAGGCATTTTTTTACATTATTTACATTATTCAGACTGTTATCCTCATCTTCATCGCCATATTCACAATGTTTCAGCCATTGTATGCTCTGGCCTCCTTCAGGTGATTGGAATTTTGAACTGAACCCTTTACTCTGTCCATCAGGGTAGATTGTTCTAGTTCCAAGTGCCATACCTCTTCTGGATGTCTCAGTTATTTCCCTTTAACTCAGCTCTCCAAGTTTTGGTTCACCACTGCTGACTGAGAACCAAAACATGAAGAGTTGAGTTAAATGACTCACAGGACATACTGAAGGCAAGAGAGAAGTGCTTATTAACATATTTAACAAGCTTGTGTAATTGGACGACAGAACACATAGTGGGAGTAATAATAAAGCTATCAAAATTACTTAGAGCTACAATAAGCAGGAACCTGTAGAGAGCTTTGATCCTTTACACTACTCACAGATGAATAGTAAACTTGGATCAACAGAGCTGTGGTTCTACTCACTGGTACTTGTAGAAAAATCACGTGGTAGAGATAAACACTCAGTTGTGGAGCAAGCTAAGTGAATAATAATCCAACCTTTAGAAAGAGAGCTATTTATGTTGCCATGGAGCATCTCATTGTGCTAAAGTGGGATAGTCCATTGCTTGGGCTGTGATTGGCTGCTGGTACCTAAGTGGAGGTATTTCTATATAAATACCAGCTTGATTCATCTGTTAGTTTGCAGGGTTTGTATTAAGTTACAACCTGCTTTATTTTTGTCTGCCAGCTGGACGCTAGCTGGGACCTTTACACCGGTAAGTGCTGTTTATTATTGTTATTCTACAGTACTGAGAATACCATGGATAGAGCATGTGATCATTGAGGAAGTTTTAAGAAAATGGGAATGAAAAGGAGACTTTTGCTTAGGATCAGACTGTTGAAATTTCTCAAACACAGAATGAGGAAAGAAAGCTTGGAGAATCTGACATTCAGAGGACATACAGAAGGCAAGGTAGCCAGGGGAAAAAAGCAAGTAAAATACTTAATGGGCTTATGCAGATGGGTAGCAGATCATGGCCTGGGAAGGATATTAACAGGACAAACAGAGCTACAAAAGATAGGAAGTTGTAGAGAGCCAATGTCCTGTAGGGATGTGAGAGTAGCATAACAGTTATTGAAAGTGAAACTGGCAAGCAGAGTTCAAATGTCAGCCTCATCTGCTGCATTCAGTTTTACACAGTTGCCCTTCAGAAAGGCATGAATCCAACTATTCCCTCCCAACTATGGCCTAAATAGCATAGTAGCCTTGGTTAACAGCCAGTCTAGGAGAAGGACCAATCTGAACTGGAAGCAATAGAGAAAGCACTCTGCTATCTTTTCCTAGAAGTCACGGTAATTCACAGATAATAAAGAAACCAGTGGTGTGCCGTGATTGCCTACATATGGAAGAGATACGACATTGAAAGAAATAACAGAGAAAGCTAGGGAGAACGATTCCACTATCATTCTCAAGAATTTGTGAGAATCAGAGATGATAATAATAAATAAGAAAGGAATCTGCATAAACCAATAATTTATCTACAACTTGAAGAGACATAATATTGAAAGAAATAATCATGGAGATAGCAATGAGGAAACCACTCTTTCCAAAGAAATCATGACCATTCTCAGAGAATATTGACAAGTCATCTGTGACAAGTTATATAGCTATGTAAAAAGCAACAGGAAACCATTCCATTATATTTCTCAAGAATTCATGACAGTTTATAGAAAAGGATTCTGTATGGGATCACTATCACCTAATGTCCTGGTAGGATTTCGTTTTTTTTTAAATCATTTCACTCCAGGCAAGGCAATGAAACAAGTAAGATGTAAGCGGTTACTGAATGTAACAGAATATCAGAAAAGAAAACATTATTAAGGAGCAAGAACAATAAAAGAACAAGAACTAAGAAGATAGAAGATAATGATTGACATTGCATTACATTTTTGAAAATCAAACTTGAATGGAAAGCAAGAAGACAGAAGACTGTTCCACAAATGAAAAGTTCAAAAAAAAAAACTGTTAACATAGAACTTATGGTTGCATCTAGCCATTTAAACTGTAAAATGATCAAACCTTGCTGTCAATCTAATACCGCACTTAAATTCGTAAAGCCTTGGTACCATAGAGAAAAGTAATATTTATTTTGTATTATACAAAAATATGCACAAGGCCAAAAAAGGGAATAAAGGAAAGCTGGTCTTCATCTGTCTTATATTTAAACTTAGCTAGTTGCAATCACTGAGCTAAGCATACCACAGTATTCCTTAGACCAAAACAACACATTCTTACTTGCCATTCTTGCTACAGACACCATAATACCTCAGAGTCTCTATGAAATCCTACCTAGTCCCATGTGTACAATTTCAGAGGAAAGCACATCAGAATAATTCCCTTGAAAGTATTTATAGAAAAGGAATAGGCAAGCCACATTATGGTAGTGGGAAAGTAACTGAAGCTGAGATGCCATACCAGAATCAATAACTGTTGTAGCATACCTATGGATAATAATAGGTATGTCCCCATTAACATAAATACAGTAGTAAATACTGTATGTTGGTCTGTAGTTGGAGATTCATTGTCGAATTCACTTGACTTACTTCTAGCAGCTGACTACTTCTTCTATGTGCTGCTGGCAAATCTTATATGTGTTGTTCTTGTCCTAAGTATTATCGCTCATTACCAACCTTCATTTGATTATTCTATTCAGTAACTTTTCTTAGGTTACAACAATAACATTGAAGATTCTTCTCTAGATTTTATCAAGGATCTCAAAATATATAGCAGAAGCACCAGACAATATGTGGCAGCAATATTTGAAGGATGGATGAATGGTAAACTTGTAGATATGTAAGATAGATTCTGGCAAGAAAAAAAATGTCTGGCATGACAGAGTGAACCAATCTTTCTAGCAGCAGACCTAGCAACCGATTTGATATAATTTATTTATTTGTTAGTGGCAAATGTTAGCCTGAGAAGAGGCAATGATTCACTCTCCTAAAACAATAAGAACTAGCAACTTATTCAATATAATCTTTCCACTTCATGCTAGCAGAAACCATTAGCTTGAGAGGGTGCAGTGAGTCACTCTCCTGAAGGTTAGAATCAGCCAAGCTGATGGAAGGCAGAAAAGGGTTTCTTCAGACTGACATTGGAAAAAATAGTCAATGGGGAATCACTCCAATGTTTTAGCCAAGATGTCATGGTAATTCAGAGATAATAAAGAAATGGAATCTGGGGAGAGCCATGATCATTAAAGCCTTGAATGTAAAAAATGTACTGTTGCAATAAATTTATAAAAGGGAAATCGAAGAGACTATTTTTCCCCCTATAATAGGCTTTATAAAGTTTTAAAAGTTACAAACTAATGATAGATCTTTCACCAACACAATGTTGACAATAAATGAGTTACGTGATATTTATACAAGAGGAAAAAGAAAAGTCTTCCAAATATATAGTAAGTGATTGAAAGGTTTAGTATCGTCTCAGTGGTGGCCTCCTTCTCATGTCAGAGCATGTTTACACGCAGATATTATTGGAAACTTAATTGAGAAGGGCATGGAAAAACAGTCACCAGTGAAATGGTCATTAATCATAAGTGAACCTTATTAGATTATTAAAACACCTTAGGTTATCAAATGTTATCGTTTGTTTTGCTGTTGGTGTTGAAGTGTCGAAAAAGTAAAGTCAAATTTGAAGTGGAGAACCTGAAAGAGGATAAAATAAAAAAAAATATAAATAAATTTTGTTTCTCTTAGAAGTCGTAACATTAAATAAATAGAGAAGAGGAGAAGGTGATTCAGTGGGACACATGAAGACAATGCAGCTGCAACTCAGTTCAGGCAAACAGATGATCTGAGCAGCTGGTGGAAAAATGTTAAAAACCATGCAAAAATGAACAGTTGACTCATTTACAATTTGATGAGGCAAGTTTAGTTTGTGGTATCCACGAGTGAATTGCAATTGCTTAAACTGTTTCATTGCAAATTGCTCAGAA